TTCGCCATTCCGAGGAGGGTTGTCGATGCTGACGTTAAAGATCGCGCCACCCCGGAAAGGCGGGAGGGGAATTTGCTCGGTGAAGGTTTCGGCGAGGGTCTCCGTAGAGCCCTGGGATTCGGAGTCCGGATTCTCCTCTAGGATGGTTTGGAGGGATGCTCCGGGGCATCGACTGGTGTGCAGCATGTTGATCGTCGCGCGGGAGCTGGTCGGTGATCTGGTTGGTGAGAGGATGGATATCCCCCACCTGGTGGCGAATTTGGCCCTCAGGGCATCTTGGTATGTAGCGGCGGTGTTGGCGAGCCCGAAGCGTAGGGCCATAATCCCCAGAGTTTGCCGAGCAGTTTCCGATAGATCCGGATCGGAGAGTGGTCAGCGCCGAACGAAAGTGTCCAGAGCTGATTCGGCGGCGGAGAGGCAATCGGCGAGCTTCAAGCCGACCCAATCGATGGATTCGATCAGATCGTCATTGTTGATGTGCCTCCTCTAGTAACGAGGAAGCGAACGGTGAGTCGTTGATGAAGGCGACCTTAGAAGTGGATCCAAGATCAGATCTGCAGTTGTAGGTGCGAGGGTGGTCGGCACAGAGCGGATCTCTGACCGCTCAAGGAGCTCTCCGACTCCGTCAGCGTTGATGACCCACGAGATGGATCCGACCGTGAAGATCTAGCCGGGCTGCGGGAGGGACGAAGAGCCTGCGGAAAAAACCATCTTGTTCGACGAGGAAACAACACGCTAGCCCCTACTTAGCGCGCCAACTATCGACAGAATATCGTCGACAGTCCTCCGAGGGGTATCCCACGAAGGTAGATTGATCGGTGGAGGAGCGTGAGATCAAGAACAAGAAGGCAACAGAGACACACGAGTTAGACAGGTTCAGATCGTCAGTATGACGTAATACCCTACTCCTGTGGTCTGTTGGTTTGTATTAGCTATCGTATGATATGCCGTGATTTTGGAGGGGGTCCCTGCCCGCCTTATATAGTCGGGGGAGGGGGCAGGGTTACAAGTCGGTTAGATCTGAGAATTAATCAGAAAGTAATAACAGATTACAAGAATTATGGGATCGTACGTATCCTAACAGATCTCGTAATATCTTCAGGATATCTTCCTTATGTCTTGCGGGAGGCGCCGAGCAGAATCGTGTCCCGCAAGGCTTCATCTTGTGGGCTAGGCCGCCCCTGAGGGCGCAGCCCATGTAGTCTGTCGTGGGTATCCGGGGTCGTACCCCCCACACCGCTGATTTGTTGTGAGAGAAAAACACTGTTCCGGCTAAAAAAACAAGCTGAAAAGTACGGATTATAAGAGAAGCAAACATGGCCATTCAATCCTAGCCCCACATGGGGTATATGCCAATGCCACGAATGCAAGTCACTTAAAATTGGTTTATTTAAAAAGTTGCGCATAAATCCTATCGGTTGCAAATTTGCAATCATAATCAAACCTAATCACTCTTCGTGTTTTAATGTGATAGCTTATTTGCAGATATTGTGTGTTCAAATGTGATGGCTATAACGATTTAGGGGTTGTTTGGATGCCAGCTGGCACCTACCACACTCCATTTGCGGTAGAATATGGCACGCCACAGGCTGTGGCGTAGGAAATCGACGCCACAGAGTGCGGCGAGACTGCTGAGAGAGCTTCTGTTGGGGACCAGTTGTGGCTTCCAAAGGTTAGTTTTCAATCAAACAACATGCAAAATAACTATGGCGTGCTGCATGTGAGGCTTGGCAAGTTAAGCAGGAACCAAACAGCTTCGTAATGACACTGCTAGCGTGCATAGTATGATAGTAAATTACTCCCTCCGTCTCAGGATAGTAGGTGCAACTCAAAAAACGCTAAGACCAAGGAGCATCTTAATTACCGCATGAGTCTCTTCAGTTCCGTCTCTAAATAAATGCCGCCCCTTCACTTCCACCTTCAAATATAACTGCAGAAACATCACCGTTAACCAAATCGCCTGGCCCGCGCGCATGCATGCGCATGGAAATTTTCTCCCTGGCTACTCTAACTGACGTGCGCTAACGAGACGGGAGTAGTACTAGAAGTCCAACAACCAGCAGCAGTAAATTCTGCATGCAAGCCGAGCAAGCGCCCTGTATCCTGGGACTAGCAAGAAAAACAGTTACGCCTACTATCATGAGACGGAGGGAGTACTATAAGCATGCAATCAAATGGTTATTAGGGAGAAGTAACAAGAACGAAGAAGAGAATAATAATTCAGGACTGCTTAGGCCAATGTCAGCATATATACCAGCAAAAAGCATGGGATGGCCCATAAAGGTGAAATGAGGATGATCACACGAGAATGGCAATAAGGTAGAACAAGACATGTGGAGCAATCAACTTGTAGCGAAATTGCAGCTTGTGTGGCACTAAAAGCACCGTGCGATGATTCCCTTTCTAACTATAAAGATATAAGATATGAGAGGAATGGGAGACGTCGATTGTCGACTATATCAAGGATACTTGGTAGCATCGTTATGAAGAGGAAGACACGTGTAGCGTGAGGATAGTACTACAACTACAATGATTGACGGTTCTTCGGGGAAAAAATATTCTCGTAGTCACAAAATTTAGCTTTTAACACCATCACTTCACTAAACAGTGACTTCTTTTTTCTCGCTTCCCTCTAGCTTCTGCGTGTCATAGACTGTAGGACCGCTGCCGTGAACTTGTGTTTGGAACTCGCTTCATTTGAACCTCTTCTTTCTTGATGGCAAATGTGCTATGACTAGTCCTTTTTTTCAAAGGTCCTTTGACCCCTTAGCTTTCGCAGCTATCCGATTTTCTCCCTCGTCTATAAAACAAAATGTTTTACTCCCTCAACTCTTTTTAAAAACTATTTAATTTTACACCTAGAAGATTTTGACAGTGGTTTTATCCAACATACGCCACATATATCACGCCACATTAGCCACAAGAGAATAAACAGACTAAGTCGATAGTTTAGAGAGAGGTAAATCAAACTACAAATGATATTTTTCAAAAAAAATATCTAGATTATTTTGCTAAAAATTTATGTGACTAAAATCTTAGAAAATATGTAATCAGTTTCAGATTTTATTTAAAATCATTCTCTATGTTCTAGTGCATAGCTTGGAGTTATTTGAATCTTTTATGATCCCATTTTGATTTTTATTTGCTAGTAGATGCTTCCGTTATCCATTTACTAGCAAACATGTCATATGTTGCAATAGAATGCACAATTTGCATCATCTATCCCAATACTTCTTGGTATTAAACTCCACGACGTGACCGGAGACATGCTATTCTAAAATCATATGAGCACAAAGGGGAGTTTGGGTCATAGACGGGACAAAAAACTAAGCCAAACTCTTATCTCTAATTCACCATGTACTACTACTCTTAGCAAAACGTACTCGGAGTAGTGGAGGGATGGGTGGACGGTGGAGAGAGTGACAAAACGAGAAACAGAAGAATAAATTTTCTCATTTTAATATTTACAACCCAGACTTGTAAAAGGCCTCCTGACTTGCATGATAACACTCCATGCTTTTCTACACAAACATGGTCATATATATAGGAAGTGACACTAATACGATCAAACTAGATAGAATCGACTATGAGGTGATTACATGAGATTTTGTTATAATCAAAGTAACTTGAACTTTTACATAGTACGGACCATCAACCTAGACTAATTATAATAGATAATGAATACACATACAAGTATAGCAAATAAATACCAAAGAAGTCGAACATAAGTTTCAAATAATTCCAAACTACACACCATAAACGTAGGGTTATATGAAAAAAACTAAAATTAGTTTCATTTTTTTCAAGATAAAACAAATTTTAGTTTTTTTAACCGCATGTTTTTCAAGAACAAAATATATGAATATTTATATCTCTATAAACTATTAATATAGTGTGATTTACCCATAGCGACTAATGTGGAGTCACGTTGGATAAAACCATTTATGGTGAAAAATAAATGGTTTTAAAAGTTGAGAGAGGCATGTTCGCTGGTCTGAATCTTGGTTGAAACTGGCTGAAAAACACTGTTCTGGCTGAATTATTGTGAGAAAAAAACACTGTTCCGGCTAAAAGAACAAGCCGAACAAGCCGAATATGGGGTACACCGAATGTGGCCTCTGGAATGAAAATCTGATTTTATATGAGTGGGCAAAATTGGACCAACACGATGAGGGTAATATATATTTTTTTTTCTTTATTATAGTGTCCGAGAAGATTCTTGATACAGTTGGGTAGTCATCCATCCTACGTGTCACGCGGCCCCACAGCTGCCATGCATCCTGCAGCCTCACAACCGACGAGCTACAGATAATCAGGGCCTCTCGCCGCTGGTGCTGGTTTGGACTGATTAGTCTTGGGTTTTTTTTTAAAAAAACACTGTTGACTGGACAGATGAGGCAAACACCAACCACCCGCCAAGATCAACAGCGCAACACAAGGCAACAGAAACAGAACACACACAGGAACAGGACAGGGGAGCAAAGCAGGGGAATGGAATGGAATGGGGATCTTCTCCCTCCCGGTCTTGCTATTTTTCGCCGCTCGTGAGATGGCGGCGGGGTGAAATGCCCTGACATGCGTGCGTGCACATGCCTGGGCAACGGACAGGCCGGTCCTGACTGCTGCTACGGCTCGGCGTCGTGTCCGGCAGCGGGAGGGGCGGAGCCGCGACGCCGTCGGGGTCGCGGTCGCGGTCGCGGCTTCCTCCTCATCCCCATTCCGCCGGACGGGCCGCGGCGCCGGTAGGGGAAGCGCGAACGTGAGCGAGCGCATCCGCGCGGCTGGCCATTGAGAGCTTGTGCAAGACTTAATCGTTTCGTGGTACGTCATGTCGTCTAATTCTTCGACAGCCCCGCCGCAGCGGCCGGCTCCGTCGCCGCCGCCAAAAAGCAGCCCTTCTCCTTCTCATTCAACCGCCCCGCCGCCGTCAGCGGACTCGTCGTCTCCGGCTCCATCACGGCCCAGCGACTCCTCGCCGCCACCAGCGGCGTCCAGGTCCCATGGCGCTCAGTCCTCCTCACCGGCCAAACCCCACTCTCCACGGGAGCAATCATCGTCTAGAGGCTCCGGCGACGGTGCCAGGTCGCCACCGGCTCCTGCGCACCGTGGCGGGCCCACCATGCTGGAAAGTTCCTCATCGCCGCCTGCGTCTGCTGCTCGAGGAAGACGGCGCCGAGGAGGAGGAAGAGGCCTCACAATCCCATGCATTACTACGCGGATTCGTCGTCGTCGGTGTGCAAAGGTACATCACGCATCTACTCGTGGTTCTTGGTTTCTTGCTTTTGAATCTTGATGTGCTCCATGAGGGAAGAGAGAAGCAACAAATCTGAGGAGCGACTAGACTTGCTTGGCGTTAATGGACACCCACCCAAATGCCATGGCAACCACAGGTAATAGCAGCACGTACTACCAGGGCCGGCCCTGAGATTTTGGGGGCCCAGGGCAAGACTAAAAAATGAGGCCCTTACATCTGTTATCACTCATATTAGTTTGGATACTAAGCTAAGAGTAACATTCATTACCTATTCTCCTTTCACCACGCACTTTCCAAAAACAAATAAATAAATTATGTTGTCACATACTTCACTGATGTCTAAATTATTATCTACCGTAAGGCCTTGCTATTAGAATTATCTTGTCACATGCTAAAGGGCGTACCCAGTGCAGAGAGCTCTCGCTCTGTGTGGGGTCTGGGGAAGGGTGTTAGTGGCAAGCTTTATCCTTGCCTGTGTAATGTGAGGAGACCGTAACTCGAACTCGGAACCTTCCGGTCACAAGCGGTAATTTTCTTCGAAATGAGACACATCAACTAGTACGGTTGCTTCAGAACACACATGTTTCTATTTCTCCTTCACAAAAAGCTTGGCAAAACGTGAGAACCAAACTGGTACAGACGGTACAGTTGTTGGGGGTTCATACATACGAGCAACACATCAGGCTGAGCTAACAATGCTTATTACTCGGTGATTATTTTCAAGAGATAATCTGGAGAAGTAACCATTAAGCTAGTCGAATGGCTGCATGATGGAGCGGCTGGTCATTGTCAGATAAGAGCGGGAGCAGATCTTCGTCGAGGGCCTCGAGGCGGCCAACGGGATATCCTCTGAGAAGAAGAAAGTGGGCGAGCTTTAGCAAGGTTGTTGACTCTCTGCAAGAAGGATGTGAACAAGAAGGTTGCGAATTTTGTTGCCGAGAACAACCACCTCTACAAGGCCGTTGACTCCAAGAACGAGCTGAGGGCCGGGAGTCGGAGTCCGCAGCGGCCACCGGGGACAAGCTTGTCGACGCGACGACGAGGCTAGAGTTGGCGAGAAGAAATTAGATGGGAGCGCACGCGAGAAGGGGAGAAGACAGACGTGCTCGGGGCCCCTGACGGATCGGGGGCCCGTGGCGACCGCCCCGCTCGCCCGCCCCCAGGGCTGGGCCTGCGTACTACCCGACCGGGCCGCAGCCGCAGTGGCGGAGCGACACCGGCACGGCGGCGGCGACGCTGAGCACCTTCGGCCCGCCGGGTGGGGGTGGCTGGCATCCACAACCGCCGCCCGACATGACCTCCGGCGCGTACTCCAGCCCGCACGGCGCGTCGCTGCCGCCGCCGCCTCCGCACGAGGCGCTGGGGCTCGGCAAGGGCACCTTCAGCTACGAGGAGCTGGCGGCGGCCACCGGCAACTTCTCGGCGGCGAACCTGCTGGGGCAGGGCGGGTTCGGGTACGTGCACAAGGGGGTGCTCCCCGGCGGCCGGGTGGTGGCCGTGAAGCGGCTCAAGTCCGACAGCGGGCAGGGGGAGCGCGAGTTCCAGGCCGAGGTGGACATCATCAGCCGGGTGCACCAACGCCATCTCGTGTCCCTCGTCGGCCACTGCATCGCCGGCGCGCGCCGCGTGGTCGTCTACCAGTTCGTGCCCAACAAGACCCTCGAGTTCCACCTTCACGGTCAGTGACAGTGATGGTTCTGGACTTTCTGGCCTCGTTGTATTGCAACGTGTACATCTCCAAATGCCGTGGCTTGACGTACGTGTTTGCCTGTATGGGTCGCAGGAAAAGGGCAGCCGGTGATGGAGTGGTCGACGCGGCTGCGCATCGCGCTCGGATCGGCCAAAGGCCTCGCCTACCTGCACGAAGACTGTGAGCCACCATCCGTCTACTCCGAATTGCCATCAGCAGCTTGGTTTCATGGTTTGTAATGCGACCATGTCACGTCTGACTGAAACTTACATTTGCCATGTCATGTGATCACCTTAAAGGCCATCCTCGGATCATTCACCGCGACATCAAGTCGGCCAACATTCTTCTCGACAACAACTTCGAAGCCAAGGTCGCCGACTTCGGGCTGGCCAAGCTGACGTCGGACAACAACACGCACGTGTCGACCCGCGTGATGGGGACGTTCGGGTACCTGGCGCCGGAGTACGCGTCGAGCGGGAAGCTGACGGACAAGTCGGACGTCTTCTCCTACGGCGTGATGCTGCTGGAGCTCCTGACGGGGCGGCGCCCCATCGACGACGCCGGCAGCGGCACCGCGCACCCGTTCCTCGACGACAGCCTCGTCGACTGGGCGAGGCCGGCGCTGTCGCGCGCGCTGGCCGACGGCGACTACGACAGCGTCGCGGACCCGAGGCTTCGGGGCAACTACGACCCCGTGGAGATGGCGCGCATGGTCGCCAGCGCCGCGGCCGCCGTGCGCCACTCGGCCAAGAAGCGCCCCAAGATGAGCCAGGTACGTATTCGACGTCGCCCACCGCTCCGCTCACCTCTTTATTCAATGATTCCTTTCCACCAGCGGTGCTGCAGCACTGAAGTGACGATGGTGTTTTTTTGGTTGCAGATCGTGAGGGCGCTGGAGGGGGACATCTCGCTGGAGGACCTCAACGAGGGGGTGCGGCCCGGGCAGAGCATGGCGTTCGGCACGGCGGTCGCGGCCTCGTACAAGGCCAAGGCTCCCGGGCCGTACACGTCCGACATGGAGCGGATCAGGCAGGCGCCCATGGCGAGCCCGGTGTACAGCGGCGCGGCCGTCGAGTTCGGCCGTCCCTCTACGATCGCCAGCGAGGGGTCCTTCTGCGACGATTTGAGTGCGGCGAAGGGTCAGCCGCAGCTGTAGCAGGCCGGAAGCAGCAGCAGCTGCTGTGAGTTGCTACGCCGTGTACGCCTGTCATGCTGGACCGTTGCAATTCATGCTCGCCGCGCCGTTGTTGATCGCGCGACCGTCCTGCTGCTTTGGCGTCTGTGAGGTGCTTATCCCAGCTGTTGCCTGTAAGCTGTAGCGCAGCCTGCGAGCGGACGTACCTGTAGTCCTGTACATATCGACATCAACCACACGGAGTAATGTGTAGATGAACGGATACACATACGCTTGTGTATTGCAAAGCAGATCAGAGCACGCAAGAATCCACACAGTGGTAAACGATCGAAAAGGACAGTGGATCAGTGGTAAACGATGCCAATTGCATACAGAGTAAGAACCGAGGTTGGTACTCAGGCCACCAAGCACATAAATCACGGCAGCGACAGGCTATCCAACTACCGACAAAAGCCACAATTAGGATGTTATAAGTGCAGTTGAGTTTACATCCGTTTTATTCCACGGGTATGTGGTAGAGCACCCAAAAACTTGTTTCTTTTCTCTTACAAGGAGTACACAAAACCTCAAAACTACAGCATTTCCAAAATGGCTGTAACAACTCCCAAAAGGAAGAAAGACTCATGCTCAACCTTGCCAAGTCAGAACTCAGCAATTAGCATGTCAAACATCTGAAGATATTACACCTTCGGTAGCACGGTAGTGTCATACGGGGTGGATGGATTGACCTACAAAAAGGAAACGGGGTTTAAGTGCTCCCGATTTTACTTTAGATATGGTCATGTTAAGAGTTTTACGGATTTTATTATGAAATGACCATAGTGGGAGGAGCGTACAGCAAGATATCGTGCAAGCAAACTTGAAGTACTGTGGTTAAAACCCTCAACAGGCTTTCCTTCCATTCGGGATTCATGCAGCTGTTTCCTCACTTGGGAAGCGAGCGACTGAAACATCAAATTCCAGAGACAACAATTAAAATCAGGACTCAAGAACACAACGTTCAAATATGTGAGCACGGGAAGAAAATTATGTGGCACTTGCAGGTTGGTGGCCCAAAACAAACTGGATCTTTGAATAAAAGGAAAATATGGGAGAAAGATGAACATCACCCACATACCTTCCCTAGCTCCACTCCCCACTGATCAAACGAGTTAATTCCCCATATGAAGCCCTGAACTGCAATCCGGTGCTCATAGATGGATAAAAGCTGAAGAGTATAGGCATTGTTAATTCATCAAATGAGCACAAAATCCTATTGAGGATTGAACGACTGGCTTAAAGGATGTATTGATGATGTCCTTGAGGCTAACCTGTCCAACCTCATTCGCGGATAGTGTAGGCAAAAGCAAACTTAGTGATGGCCGGTTGCCCTTAAAAGTCTGTTAAAAAGGATAGCCGAAAGGGCTCAATCAGAAAACACACATATGCATATCTCTAAGTGTAATACTTATGCATCAGTTTAATTTAAGTAATAAGTGAACTATCATCACCTTATGAGGGATAAGATTTTCTGGAACTTTCTCACTGTGCAATTGTTCAGGAGTCTGAAAAGAAGTAGTCAGTTTCGGTAAAGAAAGCAAGAAACTGTACGAAACACATGTATGCACAAAACTTTTGTTCTAGCCATTCAATATGTACCTTTCCATAAGCAAGTGCATCAGGCTGGGCAAAGAAATTGGACATAAGCTCATCATGATTACTCACAGTTTCCCCTATAACAGATGTATATGGTAAGTGTTTTAAAAGGAATTTGTAGAGTTACATTTATTACAATGCCAACAAGAACATCAAAAGTTACAGATGTACTAGGGGCATACCTTTCAAGTAAACAGGCTGCTGACTTTTAACAACACCAATAAAATCGCAAGGGATGACCCTTCCCTGTATGTTTCAACACATCATAGTCAATAAATATACATATTGACAATAGATGGAAAGACCTATCCTCAAATTTTGTTTCGTGTGTTTTAGAAGCCTGAACAAATTTGGCAGTCTTCAACATTGCTCCGAGAAATTATCATTATCAACAAGAAAGCAATACAGGTTGAAAAAAACATGCTGGTTAACTTAAAAGTAATGAAGAATCCTAGCACAGACACATGTAAAGTGCAAGCAAGCAAAAGTTACAAAAATATCAATATGGACAGGATGATAACAGAATAGGTCAAACATATGACAAATAAGGAAATGAAGGTTATTGTTAAATGTCATCAAGATCTAACTGAGTTCATTTCAGCAGTTATGATATTACGAACATGAAGTAAAATTTCCCTATGGCATACTCTCATCATATATGATATAAGTAAAGACAGTGTCTGGCACAACATAATGTAGATAAAAAAAAAACTCGACTAGGTGGGACCGCGCGAGAGGTATCCACCCCTAGCATTTTAATAGGTAGAAGGTGAGAATCGAACACTGGGTGGCTAGGTGACATCTCCCACTAGCCAATTCATCTTAGGGAGACTCTATCATAATGTAGATCAAGCAGTACAAACCAGTGAACTAAAAACTGCAACAACTTGATAACATTGCCCAATATATGGGAGAAATATTATTACCTGATGGATTAATTGATAGAAGCTGTGCTGGCCATTAGTTCCAGGTTCACCAAAATCAATTTCACCCGTCTCATAGGGGAGTGGAATGCCATCAATGGAAACACCCTTCCCGTTACTCTCCATGCTAAGCTTTATAACATATAATAATCATATGTCAGCATGTCACAACTAAAAAATAACCAAAAGAGAATGTCCAGATGGTACTAAAACAAAACATAGTTACCTGTTGTATATGTGGTGCCAATTTCTCAAGTGCCTGGGAATATGGCAATATTGCCTAGAATACACATTCAACAGAAAAAAAAAATTTACTCAGGATGCAATTTTTTAGATAATAATGGAACAAAGTTCCAGCAACTAATCTGTAGCTGCAAATAACACAGAAACGGAATAGTTGCTTACTCTAGCTGGATAACCAAGAAATGAAACATTCCACACACTCAACAAACCAAGGAGTACCTGCCCATAAATGATAGAAAATGTGAGACTGATTTTTCTGAGTATCTAAAATCATTGACTACTGTATGAAACCCACTTACAGGTATATTTTTCTCAAATGAAGATGAGTAGAAGTGGTTGTCAATGCTGGAAGCTCCCTCCAAAAATCTTCAAAAGGTAAAAAGGAAATGTCAAGATAGTACTGGTAATCTATGATCTTACTCTGAAAATGTTTTTTTCTGGCTTCCAACATTTTCATTAATACTTCAAATAAGACATAGTTATTAGACTTTGTGGTATTTGATGATTTAATCCAGGCCCTATTTGGGGTTCTTAAATAATCCTAAAAACACCAAAGCAAATTTAAAGAAGATATGGTCCACTTGAGGTACAAATTTAAGGACCAACTGTCCAAACCACAACTTTCGGATGGTTTGATTCGAGGGTTTACTTGTTACAAACACAAAAACAAATCCAACACCAGACATTGATTCCAGACCCTACATTAATTCCCACATCCTGAAACAATACTGCGCTACGCCAACATATTTAGCATTTTGCCACACGGAATGAGATCCGATCTTCATCTACCATCGTAAAGGGTACAGAAAGAGCATGTTCCTTTGTTTTGAGGAATCGAAGAGCAAGATCTTTTTGAACGCACATTTCCCTAAGTATTGTCGTATTTGCTTGTCACAAATGTCTACTCGTCTTATTTTTAACTTGCAGTCGACTCTGATAGACATTGACCATAGAAGTTGTAACCTCAATATTTCTTCTAGTTTTGTTTAGAGGATGGCAATAATATTTAATAACACTATCACTCTACTTCACATTTAAGATCCGTGTTCTCATCTCAAAAGCATAAAAGGATTACCAATTCAAATTGAGTGGCATCCTACTATAATTTACCAAAGTAGGATACTAGGATGTAATAACTAAATAAAAGTTCAGAGAGCATACTTCTGGACAATTGGAAAACCATACTGAAGAGATAACGGCAGAACACCAACAGCACTGCAAACTGCATAATTGAACTATGGTTATGAAATAGAACACTAGCTATGCCAGTAATTTTCACATGCTGAAATATAACTCACCACTGTAACGACCGCCAACCCAGTCCCAAAAGGCAAAAGCATTGTTTGGGTCAATTCCAAACTCCTTCACAAGCTTTGTAAACAGAAATGGAACAGTAGGAAATTGATCATGTCAGAATCAAAACATTTGAGGAATAATATGAAATTTGAAATATTCTAATAGATTAGATAATGTGGTAAATATGAAATACTCCATGCATCTCAACTCAAGTCTAAATATGATCCATCTTCGCACAGAAGAGGTTCAGTAAACTTTTGGTGGAAAATAGAAGGTTCAGAAGTACCTTAAGATTAGTACTGACAGCAATCATATGTTTTGCAACAGCCTGTGGCCTGAATGAACGATTTTTATAACTCAAATCACAATAAGTTGAGATGACGTGTCAAAAAATATTTTCAGGTACTAAACTAACCCAAGAGAAGAAACGATCCACTCCTTAAGAGTTCGAGCATTTAACATTGTTTCAGCTGTTGTGAATGTCTTTGATACAACCACCACTGCAAGTTGTTAGACAAGAAATATAAAAATCTTCAGCAAATATTCATCAGTAACATACAAAGAATCTATGTTGAAGTGAGGATAGGTGATTACCCAGAGTGGTTTCTGGATCTAAATCTTTAATGCTCCGTGCAACGTCAACTGGATCAACATTTGCAAGGCTGATAAAAAATTGAACATGAATTACTGGATGAATAGCATAAAGATTGCATGCATGTATATAATATGAAACATAGACACAACACAGTAAACAACACAATGCGTAGAGGCTGGGACCTCTGTTTTGTTCCACTACTAAAAGAGGTCCATAAATAGAAGTTTTCAGAACAAGTAAAAAGAGCTCTTAAAAAGTATAGCAGATATTAATGATGTCTGAATTAAGACTCAGTTAAGTTTATTAACATCAACGCAATATTATGTGAAGACCATGGAAGCATAGGTGTCAGCACATCAGGTACACGTGTACAACAGACACAAACAAGATAACCATTCACCTTTCATCAAACTAATGCTCCATACAAGAGATGCTATAAATAATCACATAGATGCATGCTCACTTAAAACATGATAATGAGCTTGCTTCAAAATACACACTTACAATCTCAGTTGTCGGCCTTTCGCACATTCTGCTGCTTCTGGATCTGAAGATCGGCAATATTTTCTAGGCATGTCAGTTTAAAAAGCATAGAAGTTTCTAGGGAACCTAGAACTGAAGAGCTAAATAGTTTACCAGTCTGGAGCGCAGTATGCACAAATAGAGGGCCAAGAAAGCTACCACCTATTCCAACTGACACAACATTCGTCAATGGTTTTCCAGTTGCTCCAACCTGCAGTCAAGCAGTTCCAGCGGTCAATCTTGAAGTTTCTGCCACGTTTAATTAGTTCAAAAATTGACTGAAAGTTTACCCATGATCCACTTCTGAAAGTGTCTGAAAACTCCTTGATTTTATCTTTAACAGACCAAACCTCAGGTACCACATTGACCCCATCACTGTTTATAACAGCATCTCTTGGAGCCCTCAGAGCTACATGAAGCACCGACCTGTTCTCTGTGCTATTTATCTAACAGAACAGATCAACTTATGTTACAAATTTATTAAAGTAATTTAACTGGACAAATAAAACATGTTAGGGACTTTTTTTGTGCTAAATCGGCATCAGAAAAAATGGCAAGATTTATATAATAACTATGTACAAGTTAACTGATAAATAAAATATAAGGAAATAAAAAGTACCCAATGTTCCATGGCTGGCACACTTTACATAGAAATGTATACTGAATCTACGTTTGTGATGGAGCAACTGAAGAGCAGTTTCAGATCATCACATATACCTTTTCACCTTTAAACATCTTCTCAATCTTCTCCTTGAGCTTCGCAACCTATAACAAACCAAACAAATCCCAAATTACCACAGGAAAGTGCAATCCCCACCTCCAAAATGAAAAGGCGACAGAGGCGTCACCTCAGCCAATTTAAGCAGCTTGTCGATGGTTTCACCAGTCGCCTGCTGCCTCGAGTAATCCAGAAAGATCCCTTCATACTCACTGCAACCAGACACCTTTCAGGTACGCAAACAGAATCCGTGCACACGCAGGAAACGAAATTCCACGAACACAGGCATGAGTCCCTACGCTGTCATTGCCTTGCATCGGTCGGCGTCGGCCATCAGGTCCCGCAGGTGCGTCTTCTGAATCGCGCCGACGTGCGCCTGCATCCGCACGAGTGGAAGCGGAAACAAACAGTGAGCTAATCAGAGCATAGGACTCGCCGCAATGCGATCGGCGACGGGTTCACGCACCTGGAGGGCCTTCCACTGCTCCGTGTCGCAGATTAGCGCCGGCGACGCCATGGCTTCGGCTACAAGTCTGCGACAACGAAGAGGCGACACACCAAATCAATCCACAGCCGCGGAAACAACGGAATCACCAATAATCATAAACAATTCCTTCCGAAACACGAACCCAACCAACCACTGGATCGAGCTATGGTACCAACAGGCTGCGGATCGAAGCGACCAAACCGAGAGAGAGAAAAAAAATGAGGGGGACGAGGGGGGATTGGGGGACGGATTAACACCTACCAATAAGGGGCGATCGCCGGTCGAGGTCGGGGAGGCGGATCTGCTTTTCGCCTCCTGCGAGTTCCTCAGGATTTTGTATAGCGGCTAGCCGCCTCGCCGCTCGTTTGCTTGCCTTTACCCGTGGGCTGGAGATGGGAAACGGTGGACGGGCGGCGGACAGACGACGGTGGTGGTACACGTATGCTCCCCGCCCTTTGAATTGGATATTCGGTTGAAATGTGGTTGACGGGGACCCGGACGGCCAGGCCCCGCAGAGCCGGCCAAACCGCAGACCGCGATGCGGGAAGGGCGGCCGACAGTCGATAGCCGCCGAGGTCGGGCCACCCTCGAGTTGTACTCGTAGCTTATTTTGGCATCTGGTCCTCGTCCTCGTCCTGCGAAATTGCATTTTCATACATGCTGCCCCCCCCCCCCCTCCGTGAAGAACACGTCAAATCATGCAGCACATGGCATGACCATGACAAACATCTGGATGTATAGTACTTCTTTAACGCTGATCATTGGTAGTTTGGTACCAGGCCTTGTTTACATCCCATCAAAATTCCAAGTTTTTTCACTCTCTCCATCATATCAATTTTTAGACATATGCATGGAGCATTAAATGTAGGTAAAAAAATAATTAATTGCACAGTTTGTTTGTAAATCATGAGACGAATCTTTTGAGCCTAGTTAGTCCATGATCGGATAAAATTTGTCAAATACAAACGAAACATGCTACAGTGTCCGGATTGCAAAAATTTACAATCTAAACAAGGCCCCATGTGCGATCGACTGATAATGTGGGCATACGAAATTCTAGAGGTTTTTTCTTTTGTCAATGTAAACATAGATCCACAAACATGTACGTACGGTACACTTACCTACTTACCTTGAAGGTATAAACAGTCACCCTCGAATGTAAACATAAAAATTTTAACCCTACAAATCTTGAAGTTAACGAAGTCACCACAAACATCTCGTACAATGAGCACATCACTTACCGCTAACAAAAATAACACCATTGCTATAATAAATTTAGAAAAAAATTCAAGTAACATGCTAAGTTAATAAACATAAATAGATAGATTCCACCTAAGAGTAACTTCAAGTGACTATCTATATCTTTTCTAATTATAGGAAATTTGATATAAAAAATACCCTCCAATAGCCTATGTAATTGGGTCTTTAAATATATGCATTCTCTATTCTAGATTTCTTACTAGTTAAAGATAGAGAACAAGAATGACTCTTTAAAATACGCATAAGATATATAAAAGTTGTTGGAGGATACAAAGATATAGAAAGTAAATTTTAGAAAGGTTTTACTAGATGATTAAAAAAGCTAACCTATCGTGCTACACTTAGTTTTTCCTAGAGTTTTTTTTTCATTTACCCCAAAAGCGAAGTTGAAGTTTTTTTTTCGACATTTCAATAACGATCGATGCCAATGCTAGCTAGTGGCCACTATATATCAACTTTTGTATTTATCTTATTTAAATAAATGACTTATGGTTTTTAGATATTAAATTAGTTTTTGTTATTAGAAAATAGTCAATTATTTTAAAATTAGCTTTATGCATGATTAAATTTGTCCATTTTCAAAAGTTGGAGGATGAGTTTAGGATTTTTTTTTCTCGAATACGCAAAAGACTTGCATATCATTGTATTAAGAAGAAGAGTTTAAATATACAAACAACGCGCTTCTATCGAGCGTCGAAAGTGATCGACCTAGAACAATCGTAGTTTAGGATTGAAAAATGGTGCGTCGTGCAAGTTGTAGGTTAATGGATTTTAACCTATAGAGTTTGCTTCTTTTTTTTCCAGTTGCATTTGCATGTGTTTTTTTTTAAATAACGCACACGGTTATTGCAGCATGTGTAGGACACGCACGTGTATACATTTTATTAAGCGGTGATATCGAATTGGTTAAGCTGAGGCCGTTGTCCGTTGATGCCGATGAAATGAGTTGGATAGTGGTTGCCAGGGCGTGATGTACCTTCGGAATAGAGCAACGTGGCCATGTGGGTAGAGGAGTAAAAAAAGTCTCTGAGGATACTTGTAAAAATAGTGTATGCATGTGAATCTATATTTATTTTTTTATAAAGTTATAATCCTCTCTATAGATTCTATCTCATCCCACAATGATCACGTCATTACAAAGATCTCACCAAATTAGTAAACTGAAACCCTAAATCTATATCTATATCTCTTATAAAACCAATCCCCACTGTAGATTCTATCTATCCCATAACAATCCCGTTAATACACAGACCCCCAGAAAATTACTATTAAATTATATTTGCACCAATGCACTTAGAACTTAGAAGACAAAAAGACTACAATTAACAATATAAACTATTCAACTTTACAAAACTGATCTAAACCCCTCCATCTCAATGGCCATGTGGCATGTGCTGCATCTATAAAACCATAAGCAAGCATGGTTGAAACCATACCTGATCCAATAATTCATTCGATGGATCAAGGAATTGATCCATAGAGCCAGGAATGATTGAAGTTCCTGCCGTAACGCACGGCATATTTTCTAATAAAAAAAGGAAAATCCAGCACGACCGTGTACCGATCGTAAAACTCGGGAGGCCCAACTTGGCTTGCGACGCGCTCCCCAGTCCCAACCCAAAAAAGCGCACAGAAAGAGACAGAAGGCCAGAAGGGCCAGGTGGCCCACCGGCCACCGGCCACCGGCCACCGCCCACCTCACTACCCCACCGGGCCACCCTCTCGCGGTCTCGCCTCGCCGCCCCACCGGAGCTCTCCCCCTGTCTGCTGCTCCCTCACCCGCTCCCTCCCCACACGCCCGAACCAAAGCCTCCACGCGCGCGCGAGGGCCGAGGAGTGGTCCTCCCCGATCTGCGAGATGTGGCGCGGCTGCGTGTCGCGGGGCCTCTGGAAGGTCAAGGCTGCCGCCTCGGCCTCCAGGCTCTTCTCCACGAGCTCGGTACGGTATCTTCCCGTCTCCACCACGCCACCTCCCCGCGTCGATTCGTCGCGTCCCGACCCCACCGCCTTTTCTTTTCCAGATATTTTGAACTGTTTTTTTTAATCTGTGATGATCGTGATGGCAATGGCTTTGTCGTGGTTTATTAGCGTGACTTTAACACTACTCTTGGTTGTTACGGTGAATGCCGGTTTTTGTGGAGTGGATCGGACTACACAGCCGCAGATCAGATGTGCCGTAGCTCGTCCAGTTTCACATCTTTTACCATAAGCTTGCGACGATGATTTTATACGATGGTTCATTTAATAACGGGTATTAAGTTCCGAGTGTGCAATGCTTTAATTTATTGATTTGGGTTTACACCTGTAATTGCAGTCCTACACGGTGGTGGATCACACCTACGATGCTGTTGTCGTGGGAGCCGGAGGTGCGGGGCTCAGGGCAGCGATTGGCCTTTCGGAGCATGGGTTCAACACTGCCTGCATCACCAAGCTCTTCCCCACACGATCACATACAGTGGCGGCTCAGGTGTATAAATTCGGACGTTGCCACTGTTTTTGCACTTGATATGCAGTCCTGGCTGAAAATTTGAATGATTTTAATCAGGAGGCATGCTTAGATTTTTCAATAGTTCAATCAGATCTAGTAAAATGCCATGCATGTTCTCATTGATGTGGTAATGTTGGTGTATACATGTAAGTGCTGTATTAGGAGGGGGTTTTATGATGATACATGTAACGCAATGCTGCTAATAAGTTAAATTTCAGACTTCATTGGAGAAACAAACTAAGTAGAATTCTTTTCTTTCTGTGACAAGTTAATTGTGTGTGCGAAAGTTAATTGAGTGTGATGGGTTATATTTTACAAGAATGCCATGCAAGTTAAAGTAGAATGATTTTAGTTAGAAAGCATGCTTAGAGTCTGTAAGAGTTCAATCAGATCTAGTAAAATGCCATGCATGTTCTTATTGATGTGGTAATGTCGGAGTATAACCATGTTAGTACCGTATTAGGAGGGAATGTTATGATGACATATGTAACAGGACGCCGCTAATAAGTTAAATGTCAGACATCAGTGGAGAAATAAACTAAGTAGAATGTTTTTCTCTATGATAAGTTAATTGACTGTGATGTGTGATGGGTTATATTTTACAAGCATGAATGGGCAATATAATGTGTCTAACGATGTAATCCCTATTTGAAATGCAATGTGTGCTTGGTATGCCCAACTAAGTAACATGTTAAGCTTTAAGTTGTGTTGTTGCTAATTAAAAGGAGATGCTTAGTTTGACATTTTGATGCAATAGCTTCCCATGCGAGGAAGAATGACACAAGGTCTTGAATTGGTATTCATTCAGAAAGGACTCCCGAATGCCCTGTAGATTTAAATTCTGTTAGAGTTTTATTGTGGTTTGGTATATCTGTATGACGTCTAAAATATGAATTGAGCCTAAAACTGGAAGTGCATAAGTTTGGCTACTTTTAGATTGCTATTTAATTTGAATTATATATTCAGTTGGGAGGGCCAGGTTTTGGTTTACTCAGCATTGTGCAAGACACCTAATTCACGAATACTGCTCACAATTTGCAGCATGATTGCAAGACTCACGCCTATGATGCATATATCGTGCTGTTTGTCTTGCTGTCATGTTCTATACCTAGTTTGCCCCATGGTTCGCTTCTCAAGTTCTCAAATCATAAAAAAATGCAAAAGTTACTGAGCATGTAAAGAAAATTTAGTAGCCTTGTAGGAGATGCATGAAGCTAATGGCCCTTCCTAAATCTCAGCCATGAATCTATACTTAGTGCAGTATGTTTTTTGCTGTGTATTGCTGGAGAATGCTTGAGAGTTTTACTTGTGTGCCATTAACACATATACAATGGCAGGGAGGCATAAATGCTGCTCTTGGCAACATGAGTGAAGATGACTGGAGATGGCATATGTATGATACAGTCAAAGGAAGTGACTGGTTGGGTAAGTTACTATAGAAAGACATTTTTCAAGGCACTCATGAATAATGGTGAAGTTTGAAGAACCTGGATCTTTAGTCTACTTTTATAAGATTTTGGACACCCTATCATATTCTCGTCATATCTAAGTATCTTATCCACTTTGGTATTTTCTTTCTTTGACCCCTTTTGCATATTATTCATATTCATCTAGGCGACCAAGATTCTATTCAGTATATGTGCAGAGAGGCACCAAAAGCTGTTATAGAACTTGAGAACTATGGCTTACCATTTTCCAGAACTGAAGATGGAAAAATTTATCAACGAGCCTTTGGTGGCCAAAGCTTAGATTTTGGAAAAGGTTATTGTGTTCCATTTTTATCTTGATACTTTAAGTATGGATCTGTTGCACTTTCTTACTTTTCTCCCATTTTTTCTTGTGCCTATATGTAATCTTCAGGTGGGCAGGCCTATCGGTGTGCATGTGCAGCCGATAGAACAGGGCATGCTATGCTACACACACTATATGGTCAAGCAATGAAGCATAATACTCAGTTTTTTGTTGAATATTTTGCACTGGACCTTCTCATGGACAATGAAGGTATATAATTCTAATTTATTTTTTGTTGCCACATTCTTGTTAGTTCGTTTTGTTCTGGTGTCATGGAAAACCCAATACGTGTGGCTAAACAGAATATGGGTTTTTAAATTGTGATACATTGTTCATTTTCCTTGCTATTGTATTTGCATTTTGTTCATGTGGTCGCAACCTGATGCTGGCTTTGTTCACGAAACTCAGTATTGATGTTTACTGTCTTCAAACACTTCCGTTGGTACCATAATAATTCTGTTTTATGTTAAACTTTCTGCTGGATTCATAATTTAATTATTCGTTTTGTTGTTTATTTTTTTGTGGCTGTTCAATTGTTCAACAGCTTAACATTATTTTTCAAGCGGCGCTAACTGCTAATATGGTTTATTTGATTGCTTGCCCTTACTACAATGTATAGCTTTATACTGTTGGAAACAATTGGTTAAGGATCTTTTTTTTTGGGGGGGCGGGGCGGGGGGAGGGCTGCTCTTTGCTGCTGCTTTTCGGCAGTCATAATATGGCTTCCTATTACAACTCTATTGATCAATGCAGATTCATTTTTCAGGCACCTGCCAAGGGGTAATTGCGCTAAACATGGAGGATGGTACTCTTCATCGTTTTCATGCTGCAAATACAATTCTAGCCACTGGAGTAAGAACCTCTCTGTGTTAAGTAGTAAGTACTGATTGTTTTATTTTGATTTACTGAATTATCTATAGCCATTTCTTTGTTTTCATCTAAACAGGGTTATGGTAGAGCCTACTTCTCAGCAACTTCAGCTCACACATGTACTGGTGATGGCAACGCTATGGTTGCACGTGCCAGATTACCCCTTCAGGTCAGTCTTTTGTGGTCGAAACCTGGTTGTTTTAACTACTTTACTGTATGTTCTGACTATACTTGTCTAATTTGTACTGCAGGATCTTGAGTTTGTGCAGTTCCATCCTACAGGCATTTACGGTGCTGGATGCCTGATAACAGAAGGTTCTGTGATTGTAATTTGTTTTTGTTTTGTTTAGACACATAAATCACATGTTTAAAAGCTCCTGTGTTTGCACTAGTTACATAAATCACATGTCCTTAGTTGGATTCAGAAATTCCTATGGCATTGGTATCTCTTTTGTTCAGGTTCCCGAGGTGAAGGTGGTATTCTTCGGAATAGTGAAGGTGAGAGATTTATGGAACGATATGCTCCAACTGCTAAAGATCTTGCATCTCGTGATGTTGTTTCGAGATCGATGACAATGGAAATTAGGGAGGGCCGTGGTGTAGGTATGTCTATATTCTCATTTTTTAGGCTTGAGCCAGCAACCTGATTTTTTGTTTCTCATATTTTCTTGATGTTCACTTTGTCTCAGGACCACTGAAGGACCATATCTACCTGCACCTCAACCATCTTCCTCCAGAAGTTCTCAAGGAAAGGCTTCCTGGTATATCTGAAACTGCTGCGATTTTTGCTGGTGTTGATGTCACCAAAGAGCCGATTCCTGTTTTGCCTACTGTGCACTATAACATGGGTGGTATCCCGACAAATTATCATGGGGAGGTATGCTTGAATAGACAATACTAGCATTACTACGGACATCTGACTTGAACAAATACTTGTTTATGTCTGATGTCTGCCTTGCTGTTTTGCACATTAGGTGCTGCATATCAAGGGTGATGATCCAGATGCAGTTGTTCCTGGTCTGATGGCTGCTGGGGAAGCTGCTTGTGCATCTGTTCACGGCGCTAACAGGCTTGGTGCAAATTCACTTCTTGATATAGTTGTATTTGGCAGAGCTTGTGCAAACAGGGTTGCTGAGATATCCAAACCAGGCTAGTTCATGTCTTGCGAATAGTTTTTTTGTTATTGACTTTACTATTTGTACCTTATTTCCTTGTTGCACCACATTCTAGGAGAGAAGCAGAAGCCTCTTGAAAAAGGTGTTGGAGAAAATACTATTGCTTGGTTGGATAAGTTGAGGAATGCAAATGGATCTTTACCTACTTCAAAGATTCGTCTCAACATGCAACGGGTTATGCAAAACAATGCTGCAGTTTTCCGCACACAAGAAACTCTTGAGGAAGGTATGAATATATGTAGAGTTGCCCTCAATTTTTCTATGTTAATCATCTGAATAGCTATCAGTACTCAGTAGTAGGGAGCAAGCATGCCAGGTTTCATGCAAGAAATTTGTATGACTATTTTGTCTTATTAGGCTGTGAACTGATTAGCAAAGCATGGGAAAGTTTCCATGATGTCAAGATCAGTGACAGAAGTCTCATATGGTAAACTCTTCACCAGTAAACAGCTTGTCATCTTCAGTATATACGTTTTTCACTTACATTACAGGTCATATTTCTCTTTGATCTCCACAGGAATTCAGACTTGATTGAGACCATAGAACTAGAGAATCTGCTAATAAATGCATGCATAACCATGTATTCAGCAGAGGCTCGCAAAGAGAGCAGAGGAGCTCATGCCCGTGAAGATTTTTCGGTTTGTTTCCCTTTTTATTATTGCCTTGTGCTACTTCCACATCATATGATCATTTGTGGACTTCTGGTAACGGTCCCTTTTCCCTTGTTGGTGCAGACAAGAGATGACGAGAAGTGGATGAAGCACTCTCTAGGGTTAGTGTCTTCTCTTTGTTATCCCTTCAATTCTAGTTTGAGTTATAATTGGGTGGCTGATTTATTTAATGATGAATATGGAATTTGACAAAATTATACTCTTATAGGTATTGGGAGAACGAGAAGGTTAGACTAGCCAACAGGCCAGTTCACATGAATACCTTGGACGATGAAGTTCAATCTTTCCCACCGAAAGCACGTGTTTACTAATCTAATCGGAACATGCCTGCAAATGTTCTGGAGAGGTTTCCCAATCTCCCTGCTGCATATATTTGGTCCCTTAACCTTGTTACCTTACGGAAGAAACGAAGGAAACAGGTTGCAATGTTGTTTTTGTACACCAATAAAATATTAGTCGTGCAGCCTTTTCACAAATGTTCTCAATATGTTGCACAAACAATTATGGAATCGACACTTGTTTAGGGTCCGTTCGGTAGAAACTATTCCAGCTTATCACATTATACAAATTAGTGAACCATTCCAACTAGGAATCGTTCAAGGCACTTGTTCCTAAATAACCGAACGAGCTTACGAGCCCTTAGATGCTGAATCAGATAGCTCTAGAAGCTCATGGTCAGAAATGTTTCATGTTCTTGATTACGCTTTCGAACAGAGTGGGCTGGTCTGTCTCATGCAAGCACAGCTGCAGCCCGGAGTGGGGGGTACTTGCCGATTTCCTTGAACTCGTCGCTGAGGACGCGTGCCTCCCTCGATCCCAGGTCGATCTGGACAAGCCCCACTCCCCCCACTGTAGCATCACGGCGCCGCTCCGCTCGCCGAACCGCAATAACCGGACCGCGCAGCCCGGACGCTGCCTGGCGATGGCGTGCCTCTGGATCACCACCTGCAGGGTCCACCTCGCCGTTGTCGGAGTCGCCGGCGCGGACGCCGACAACGACCACATGCTTATGGCACCTGACCTGGCGACGAGCAGGCTCAGTCTTCCATGCGCCGAGGAAGCCAGGAGCCCCTTGTCCGTGTGTTTGGGGCACCTCGCCACCTGGCTGAAGCATAGGGGTGGCAGCTCGATGACCGTGGCGCTCGCCGTGCTGACGTCCAGGGCGACGATGCACTGTTCTCTGCACAGCCAGTGGACGGTGGTGCCTCCGAGGACAAGCGGCGGGGAGCAACGGTTCGGGATGGTGCTGATGAAGTTGGGCGGGAGGCGGGTGTGGACGACGTGGCCCCAATCTCCGCGCTCCGACGAGAAGATCCTCGTCACTAAGTTCGTGCCGGCGACGAGGATCTGGAAGGAGCGGCCGGCGTCGCCGACGGCGAGCAAGGTTCGTGGGTACATAGCAGAGATGCCAGGGGAACGGACGCGGGACACGCGGCCGGTAAGGGTGTTGACGCGCAGCTCAGCGGAGATGGCATGGCGTCGGTGGGGGACGACGAGACAGCCGCGCGAGACCATGGGCTCCTGCCAGCCCAGACATTCGGTTTCGAAGGTGAAGGGAAGGCGTTGCTCCTGGAAGAAAGCATCGCGAGACCATGAGCGCTTGTAGAACATGCAGGAAGCGCCGAGGAGTAGGTCAGGGTCGAAGCCGCCGCCGCAGCAGCCGGTGGCGCGGGCCGCGTGGCTGCGGCGGCGGCAGAAGTCTGGGCTGAGGATGGCCCGGCGGATGGGCCTGGAGGTCGCGGCGGCGCGGACGATGGTTTTGGCATCTGAGCGCGCGAAGATCTCGATGAGGATGTCGTCGGGGATGTGCGGCGGCTCTGAATCGACGCCCGTCGTCGTCCCGTGGCGGCATGTGCCGACGCGTCGGCGCCGTTTCGCCGAGGACATGGCTGCTGGCTCTGGCTGGCTTGTCGAAGCTGTAGTAAGCCCGCCGAGCTTTTTATACGGGTTTGTTGGCTGCCGTCGCAAATTATATATGCACGCGCGACGGCGAGGTCCTGGCCTCCGTGCTCGCGTCGAGTCGAGGTAGAAGAACTCGATCTCATCCCGTTCCTGTTCGAAATTAGTAGTCCTCAGTAATTTAAGAATTTTTAATAAAAACATGCTCAGCTGTAAAAAAACTATGCTTCTATCAAAACGTTGCCGCTGATGCATATATCTCTTCGAGGGGAAAAAGAGTCTAATCAAAGTGTTTAATAGTAATAATGAAATTTAAGGAAACATGTGGTAAATTTTATTAAACCCTAATATCCCCCTTATGTTTGTACGTAGGGATTAGGGAATAGTACTAATTAACAGCTGATAATGTATTCACAAATAAACATGTTCCATACCATCAGATGTTGTCCCTCTACTCATAAAAAACATGTTTTTGGGTATAAGATTTAGTTATATATAACTCAAAGACTAACAGACATCAATGATCTTCAAATTATGTAGTTTGAGAACATTTAAATTGCATGTAGTATTGCAAATTACTTGCAAAACTAAATACAATTTAAAAGATGCTAGTATTCTATATAAATTACTGATCAAAGATATTATTATCCATCAAATAGGCGAAAAATATACAAAATCATATGTGACAAGTTTTTTTTTAACAAATACTCTAGTACATCTAAGTATTAAACCCAGCCGATTAAATTTTTTCACCCAACCAAACACTACAGATAACATAGGTACTACAAATTCGAAAAAGGAAAACATATAGGCACTACAGAATTATTAGAAAGGTTTCATGGTTTTGACAAATCCGTCTCGTGCAAACACACCTGACGAAAGAGGCTGAAGTCCAAATCGTCGAGGACGGTGCGACGGATGGGCTTGGACGTGGCGGCGCAGTGGGCGACGTCGTGAGGTCGCCCGTGCGCGCGAGGATCGAAAGATCGACGGGATGGATGGCGCCGGCCGCCGGCGATGTGCCCACCCTCGCCATCGGCCGTCCTATGACGCGGCGGCGCTTGGTCGACGACATGCCGGGATTGCTCAGGCTTTTCCGCTCGTGGACAGGCCTGCTCGTGGAAGCTCGCGCGCGTCATTGATGGCGGGGCGGCTAGCTTGCCTTGTATAGTACCGGCCCGCTTCCGGGAATCAGGGTTGGGCTTCGCGTGTGCTTGTTGAACTCTGGAGCCTCTTGGGACTCAGTCGGTGACGTGACACGGCAACGAGTCCGCACTCGAGACGGATCGGGGCAAACGCACGGCCGGCTTGTCAGACCCCACAATAACAGGCCAGATCGGCACGGCACACGCCATGCGGCTGCGGCTGCGGCTGCGGCTGCGCGCCTTATCACGGCGAATCCGATTCGGTGGCGCGGAAGCCATACGCGCCGACGCGTGCGGGACCCCAGGTCTACTTGTGGGGGATGAAACCAGATGGAAACGAGCAGAAAAATTCTCTTTTTAGTTTTCGTTTCTACATCTATAATCACTGAAAACGGTACCGAATCTAAAATAGCCATGTGTGAAAATAGAATATACATGTATACAGAAAAAAATAAATAGGGTGGAATTTCAACGGAGATGAACGGAGAGTGGAAACTTATGCTGGGATTACACGCTCAATACGCAATAGTCATTGCATATACATCAATACTGTACAGGAAGCTATGAGCTAAATTGCACTAGTAACCGGCTTAGAGTACGATAGATAAGTAAATCACATACACGACTCTAAAGTGCACATAGTAGTAGGTGCCAATGCCATCTGTCTGCGTTCTAGAAATTTTAAGATAGATTAGCAGAGAACACATGCATCATTATTAAATTCATTATATTTAAGTACAACATTTTGAATGCTTGTATGCGTTATATTACAGGACAAACCACATGAGACAAAAACAAACTTGACTTTGATGGTGCAACTAGTAGACCATAGTCACCTGTCATAAAAAAACATCATTATTGAATACGATGAAGGCTATTTCATTCGTCAACATAAATCTGCAAAGCCGATATGGCACTTTTGAAACCGTAAAATAAAAGAAACCATGGAGACTAGTTTTAGTAATACTACACTAACATGTCCTTATATTTATTAAAAGAAAAGTTAGAAAAACACGTACTAGAAGAAAATGCTAAGAAAGTATAGGAAAAAGCCCCCCCACACATCGATTAACACAAACAACCAAAAAAAATATTGTTATGACATTCGTGCTGGTCAAACTTTCTCTCAAATTTGACTAGATTTATAGAAAATATAGCAATATTTGTATCTCTAAATAAGTTTATTGTGAAAATTTATTTAGCGACTAATATAATGATACTAATTATGTACCATAAATATCAATATTATTATATATATTTGGTCAAAGTTTAAAATATTTGACTTCTCGGAAAGTGACAATGACACTCTTTATAGGACAGAGAGAGTATGCAACTAAATAGCAGTTTATGATCATACTAGGAAAGGGTTCTTAATTGCGGTATAAAAACATCTATAGGTAAGGGTTTGTTTGGCATGACCCCTCCTCGAAGTGTTCCTCTATGAAAGTCGGAGCACTTGAAGAGGAGCCACAAATTGTAGCTCCTTCTCCAAACTAAAAAATGATCCAAGCCCCTCTACTATTTACTAGAAAACGGCTCCTTCGACTCATCCATGGAATCTGGCACCGAAACCAAAGCCGTGCAATATAGATCCTAGGGGGTGTTTAGTTCCCCAAATTCCAAATTTTGGCACTATGCAAAAAGAAGATTCCCCGTCACATCAAATTTACGGTACATGTATAGAGTACGAAATGTTGACGAAATCAAAAACTAATTGCACAGTTTGGTTGTACTTTGCGAGACGAACGTTTTGAGCCTAATTAGTCAACGATTGGACAATTATTACCAAATAAAAACAAAACGCATGTAGCTCCAGTGTTTTTGTCGGCGCCGAATCAGCGCAGCTAAACGAGGCCCTAATAGCACACTCGCTTTGGAACCAGGAAGGCAAAATTGCACAAATAGCTATTAGCACGTGATTTTTTTAAACTGAAGTTAGTACGTGATTGAAGACCATAGAAGGCTAGAAGCAATTGAGCACTTATTTCGCACGTGAAAGTTTTAGGGAAAAAACCCCGAAAATTTACGTTGGTGTAGTGGTGGCCGTCACCCATGCTGACTTGAACTCGCACATGTGTTTCTGTATTCTTTTTTTTTTTTGAAAGAGGTGGGAGGAGCTTGTGTTTCTGTATTCACATTTTGTGATATTCTGAATACCTCAACTTTACAAACTGAAGATGGCACGAGTATACTTTTTAGCTGTGCATTTCCTGAAATTAAGCATGGCGTGCTTTGATTTAGGTTCCTGATCATGGAATGCTTTTATTGGAGCTGGTTCTTATGGCAATGGATCATCTTCTGCATCTCCCAGCTTGTCTTGTCCAATAAAATTAAGTCTCCTCCAGCAAATTCAGCCTATGCAGAAGATGATCAATTGCCACAAGAACGAACTCCAATAAAATCATTCCATGATCATGTACCAATTTATGATTGGGTGCACGTTGCATTTTTATAGATCTGCGACTAGATAAAGCACTAAGTCGCAAAAAAGACTAAATAAACCACTAAATGCAATACTCCAATACTCCAGTTACTTGTTCGTGTATATTTTACTTTTTATCTTATCGGTCTGTTGTTCCTACAAAGTTATAACCTAAAAAAGAATCCGCTTTTATTGGTTTTTTCATAGTGTCTTCTTTGCTTCTTTCTTATTTTATAAAATTGATTTATCATAAGTTCACATCTCATATGCTCGATGTTCTTTCATAAACTATGCCTCTTTTATGCTAAAAAATGAATAGCTACTCTGTGCGCGGTACACCCGTTGAATTATGTTTCTTTTTCAAATAGCTAAACATTGTCACTAAATGTATCAGGTTTAGGATCTACCATTTTTTAGAAGGAGATCATCTCAGCTTTCAAGAAAGCCATTAGTTGTTGATACAAAGCAATGCTGGGGATACCAGCTAGACAGAAATGTCTGAAACAAAAAACAGATACCCTATTACCTAGCCTAAATATCCACGACCCCCACGAATTGAGCGTAGCTCAGCTAGTTGCTGGTTGGGTTCTTTGCGATGGAACCTACCCACCAGATTCAGGTCTCTGACTTGACACGGGTGCTCATATTTTCGTGAATTTATTCTAGGATTTAACGGCGATATTCTTTCAGTGGTAGTGGTAGACGACGTGCCCGTCGACAGCGAGACGTCTGTAGTGACTTCGTCAATCTCGAGATTTGTCGAGGTGCTCATACGGTAGGGTATGCGTGCGTGTGTGCGTTCATAGAGGTGAGGCGCATGTGGTGACTTCATCAATCTCCAGATTTGCCGATATGCTCATAGGGGTAGAGTGTACATGCGTGCGTGCGTTCATAGAGGTGAGCGTGCGCTCGTGTATGTGAGCATTTGTAGGGTGTGCGTGCGTGGGGTGAGTGTGGGTTGTCCAAAATGTCTCGTGTGCTAGGCTTGAAGTCGTTCAGCCAAGTGGAGATGGACTCCGTCAGCTGGATCATCTTGTTTTCGTCTTTCTCCTTCAGCCTCGGACACCACTTCTGTATCAGTGATAGAGCAACACATATGACATCAGTTGGCTTTCTTGGTAATTTCTTTTGAATCGCCATTTTGTTTCTAGCTGCCCGAAGCGCCCATACTATGCCAGCAAATACAAACTGACCAGTCGTATGATCTGTCGTTTTGGGAAGGGATTTTGCATTGCATCCAAGACTCCCGAAAATCCTCTATAGATGTTGGGATGTCTTCCCACTTAAACATATCCTTGAAAATAACAAAGATTGGAAGAAGGTGGAGGAACGTAGAGAAAAAAAGCTTAGCAGTTACAAAGGAAAACATCTGTCTGTTGGGGGTAGACTGGTGTTGATTAATTCAGTCCTGTCAAACCAAC